TGGAAACGTCAGCTCAACTCATATCATTGTGGGAAAATTCTTCTTCTACCAGTTCTTCATCACCTTGAACGAAATTGAGTGAATAAATCTCATATTACTGATTTACTGGTTGTCACGAAAACGATACTTAATTCATTATATATCTATCTACATATGTGTTTTTCTTTTTTCGATGAGTCTAAATGGTATGTTGGAAAGAGCAAGATAATCTTCTTGGCTTAGTATTATTTTGAAGCTTTTGAATGAATTCCAGCTTTGACGATGTCCTTCATTTGATAGACAAAAGATAGTCTCATCTTCACCCAAAACAAGGAAGAGATATTTCATGGATTTCGTAAACACGAACGTCGTAGTAAAGCCAAAAAGTTGAAGAACAACGTTAGTGAGATCAACCAACGAATGTCTGCATCATGCGCACCTACATAACAAATGTAAGTCTCCAAAAAAAAGTAAAATTTATGAGATGCATTCATCCTATTTCGGCTAGGGTGATAAGGGTAGTTGAATTTTCCCAAAATGATATGATTAGAGCCGACGTTTCCATTGCATTTCGCATAACCTCGCTTTCCCAAAAGATATTTACATTCAGGCAGGACTGGACCGCCGTTTATACCTTTGTTTGGTCTCCTCAGCACCCCAAGCGGGACTCGAATTATGACAGTGTATCGTATAATCTAGAGACGTTAACAACTACACCACAATGTTACGAGTGCCCTTAGGTTATAGGGCAGATTAAAATTATCCCATATCATATTCTGTGATGAGATTGTCTATGAAGGCATAAGCGAGATCGAAACCGCAGTCTATCCGAGATTATAATAACTTTTGGGGATGCAAGGCTATGCTAGCTTTAATGTAAGCGTCATATCTACTCATATCATTGTAAGAAACTTCAACTACCAGTCCCCTTATAACAATAAACGAAATGGGATTAATACATCTCATATATGTGATCTACGCGTGGTCTGGAATGCTTATTTATAAACGAATAAAATAGGGCTACATCATCTTGTTGTTCATACCTTCGAATAAAATAAAGTTGCATTTTCCTACGATGATATAAGGAACCCTTACGTTTTCAGTCAATTCTACTTAGTCTTGGATACTAGAGAGTTTTCGCATTAGCACCAAAATTCACAACGCTTTTGATAGCCTTCCACACTGAAACCAGCTTACGCGTTATTTGATATTTTCCAGGCTAGACGTGTGAATTACACCTCGAGAGAGTGTGACTGGCCAAATGGATAAGACAAGAATTTTACATTGTAGCAGGTTGGATGGCTAGAGGAAGATTGAAGAAAATGATTACACCACACTTTACTCACCTAAAGTGGTATGTTAGAAAATACGAGGATTGACAGCGTTGTGGATAGGAAACTTGGGCTGGATGAACTTGGATTTAGTGTGAATGATGCACCACTTTGAGCTTGGGTAGGGTTAAACAGAACATTGCCAATCACTAGCCTTAGCTTAAGCTGGGGATTACGATCTTATGGAAAGTCTGGAAATGTACCCGATCAGCGATGCGGTGCTGGAAGAAGACATGACATTGTTGGCACAAGACCCAGTAGCGAATTACGCTCCTTGAAGTCACCCTGAAAGCACAAACAAGTTGCGATTACAAACCAAAACCTGAGAAACACACCCAGACTATAGGAAAAATGACCTAATCTAGCCGCAAATCCGTACTTTTTTCCGTCTCTTTTCACCAATGCCAAACATGCTCCACTCTCATTCATGTTCAGATTGCCGCCAGCCACGTCTACGAGGGCTTTCACTGTTCAGCTGGGCTGATCCACTCGGCAACTCGTCTCAATCGCGTCACTCTGCCCAACATCAGCCCCGTTCGCAGCCCATTCATCCTCCAGCGCAGTCAGACCACGCTGACCTGCAGAGTAGAGTCCCATCGGGGGGATGAGGCAAGCCACCGACTCCCGGACGGTCGGCGAGCTCTAGTGGAGGTGAGAAGCATCCGTGGCGCCTGCAACGAGGAGCGGCGTCTCCTGCAGACCGACATTGTCGCCTTAAATGGCGTAATCCACATCATTGAGGAGCCATTGGTACCTCTGGAAGGTAGGTTCAAGAACTTGCCTTAGGGCCTAGTTGGATGGCTGGGCTTGCCCGCCTGAAAGGTACGCCTGAATGAGGACCAAATCAGCTCAGATGGCTCAAGGTAACCTGAAGACTGATAATGGATATAAGAAAAAAGTTGGGTTTCAAGGAATCTCTTGTGTCATCATTGTTGAGTCTACTCCTATTTCGAGTGAAAGTGTTTGGTGAAGTGATTCAAGAGTTGATCCCACCAGAAGACGACAACGGATTCCTTTTGACCTGTCATCAACTGGCCTTACTGGAGCATTCTTGTTGCTGCTGTCTCTGAGGCAATCCCCTGCGATTCCGGTGAAAACGTTATAAGCTTTCGTCCGTCGTATGACGGACATCATAAGAACATGGTTTATATTTGCAACCATATTCAAGCTAACGAGTTAAGAAAACTCACTAGCCCATTCATAAATCCCGTCTATATACTCTATATTTTTAAGCCTTTTGATGAGGTATAAAGTAATTTGGTTAGTTTAAGTCATATGTCAACATCAAATAATGTGAGTGTGTCTGTGTATGTGTTCGTATATGCACGAAGCCACCAGTGACGGCTCAAAGTAATTATAACAGAAGAATTAACGTCTGTTCTCGGTCATCGAGGTTTGATGACCCCCATCACTCCCCCCTCTCCCCCTATATGGAATATGGCTGTAAGGATGATACCCTGCTCTGATGATGTCCGTTATACGACGGGTTTAGAAGCCTACTCTAAACGAATATAAGTAGCGTTGTCAATTATAATTGCAAAATACAAATTTTCGTTGTTGATGTAGGGTTTTGGAACTACCATTAAATCTGCTATAAGGTCTGTATTAACCCTATTCCGTTTAAGTTGATAAAGGAGTGCTAATTAAAGTTTCCTTTAATCAGATTTGTAAAACTCATGTTTCCATTAAATTTCACATAGCCTTGCTTTTCAAAATATATTCGCATCCAGGCTGGATTGGACTGCAGTTTGAGTATGGACGCTTTCGAAGTATATTAGAGATGCTGATGGGACCTAGGCGAGGTCGAAACTGTAGTCCAATCCAGCCTAAATAAGAATATATTTTGGAAAGCAAGGCTATGTGAAATTCAATGAAAATCTGAGGGCTTATCATATGATTATAAGAAAACTCAAATACCAGTCTCTCAGCGCCTTAATCGAAATAGGGTGAGCACAACTCTTATGCCAACCAAAATAATATAATCCTGTGCTCAGTATATGCTATTTTAGCTCCCTATAACTTAACGAAAGAAGATTATGATAATCATACATATAGGATTTAAGTAGAAGTTATGAATTCAATGATAATAACAAGTCTGAATGTAGTAGACGTAAAGCACGGTAACCAAGAGATCGGTAGATTGATGCCTATAGTGTTTCAAAACAACTTCCCATTAGGAATAGAAGACAATTACATTTGAATTGTCAGTAACAAGATAAGGGGAGATTGCTATTGGGGGGGGGACAGACAGATAGACCATTTAACTCGGATCTTGATTTTGCCTTCCTGTCAACTTACGAAGCAATTATCTGGTCTATTGTGGAAGAGGAACATCATAATAATCTATAAAGAGAAATTAATACTTTCTTCTTTTCGAGCTTCAAGGTTTTGTGTTCATGCGATAATGTATCTGTAGGTGAGACCAGAAGACACATCCAGAAGGGATTATGTGAACAAAAAACCGCTCCTGGCAGTATATGGGTTCGAAAATCTGAGGTTTCTGAGCACGTGGCTAATACAGAACAGTAAAAAAACGTGGTCAAAAGTCGTTTTTATATAAAAATTGACAAAGCAGCCAATATTATGAATAGGAGGAGCGAATGTAGAAAAATGAGTAGGAAACTTTTGTGGCTATTGGATAGGTTTAAGGAGAGCGAAAGAGAGAGAGAGCAGGAATAGCCATTGAACAAAAGAAGGAAGCTGGAATAGCCTTAAGTCTGGCTAGAATTATCACGCTTCTCATAACATGAACATTACACACATACAAAAGACAATAAATATCACAGACCCAAACATAAATCTGCATTAGAGGATCGTAAGCTAGTTTATACGTGTAGGGAAGTAGATTTACTCATCTGCAAGCGCGTACACTCATTTGCGATGCCGGCAAAGCGTCTAAAAATGTACCAAGTCCACGGTCCGACTCCTGCAATTATCATAGATACTACAGACTCCGGACTAGATGCATTTCTCTAGGTCCTCCTGCCAATATTTCCAACAAGGCTAAATAACCCCTCGACTATTTTTCGTTTATAAGTAACGTTTTGAAGATTTATTATGTCAGTAAGAAAACATTTTATGAGGCAAGACTAACTGGAATGTATTGTCCTCGCTGTGGCTTGGAAAACACCCTAGGGTGAACCAGTTAGTCTTGGGGATTTATTGATAAGCTTGAAGACTATTCTTATCGAAAATGTATAAGGCACTTCTGGGAAATGTCCCATCAGTTGAGAGTCAAGTTGCAGAGTAACTAGAGTTCTGCCAAGGTCATTGCCATTTTCACTGTAGACTGGATATTGAGTGTAAACACGCGGGATCCCGTTGCCAACATTAGAGAAACCTTTAAAAATGAACATTTTTGCCCAAGTCTAAGAGCATAATTTTTTTACTCA